TGAGAAAATGGCTCACCCCGCTCTAATCGCCAAATCTCTCACAAAAAATATCAGCTAACATTCTTTTAGTCGTCATTCTCACGAAAGCACTTCCATTAGCTCCTTTATCATGCTTTTGTTCTAAGCTGCTCTTCGTTATCAATGACCAATTTGCGGGAGAATAATAGAAGTATTTAAAATATTATTCCACTAATTTCCATATTATTCTAGTTTGCATATGTTTTCACCACATTTATTCATTATTAAATAAAACGAATTATTACTCCTTGTCAAATTATATCAATCAAAATTATCTCTTAAAATCCTAAAATCTACAATAGCCAAACTACACGTACTCTTCATCAGGTAACTTACTCTTTGGTTCTGCGCCTAATCTATCCGTATATAATTTTAAAAATTTTCTCTTTCCTCGTTTAATTCCCTACCCTACTTAGGGATTTGAATATTGTAAGTACATCGGATCTCACTGAACCATAAGTCACTTTACTCTCCTAAATTAAAGTAGTTCCTTCAAATATAAGAGGGGACAATTTGGATAAATTTTCAAGTATTTGAAATGTTTATTAAATAAGGCTGAAATTTCAAATTTCAATGACTTTTTGTGCAGTAGTGCTTAGCTTCTTTGTCAAATTATCCTTCCTTTGAAACTGAGATTTTATTTCCTCTTTCAAAATTGGTTACCAAACCGGAAATGTAGTCTCCAGTTTATGACCTTGTTTGGATCATAGCAGTTGGCAGTTGGCTGTTGGCTGTATATGTTGGCTGATTTGAATGACTGATTGAGTTGTTTTGACCGGCAGTTTCTATTAGCGGTTACATTTTAAATGTTTGTCAAGTTTAGCTGTTTATAGTTAGCTGTTTGTAAGTGAAATTACATAAAAGGACATCCCTCCATTTATGTTAATTTGTATGCAATTTTTAATATTTTTAATTTTGATAAAATACGCACATGTCTAATTATCAAGTCTTCACTCATTGTCAAATGTCAAAGCATACTTTTTTCTTTTTTCTTTCCTTCTTTAGTCGTTATTGATGAACAAAGAGAAGTAGAATCACAGCAAAACAAAAAAAACAGAATAGCAGGAAAAAAAACAGAAACACAACAAAGAGAAAAGCAGAATCAAAGTATAGAGAAGCATATTCACAGCAAAAAAGTAGAATCGCATAAAAAAAACAGTCTTAAATCATAGAGAAGCAAAATCGCAACAAAAAAAAAGAATTGCAACAAAAAAAACCTAATCGCAGATGGCCTTGTAGATGTAAAAATTTCAACTATTTAGATGTAAAAAATTATGAAAATATACATACCTGGTGCCTTGAGGGAAATCGTAGAGAGAAAGAGAGACAAACTTCCGGTGCCCTACCGTGAAGAAAATAGCAGAGAGACAAAGCAGCCTTCTATCGCATATGGCTTAAGAAAACTGAAAAAAAAGAAGGGTAAGAAACGGAAAATTGCTTGAACTGCTGAACGAAACGCTCCTAGAGGTGGCGTTTCAATTTTTGGCAGTTCGGTTCCAAATGCCATTATCCAAACACTTATTTTGGCGGTTTGACCAGTTCAATCCGCCATTTATGGTCAAAAAAGCCAAATGCTGAGCAAAATGCCATTTACCAAACAGGGCCTATATCAATAAAACTTATAAAAAAGAAGTTATAACACAAGTATTAGGTATAACAAAAAGAGAAAGTCTTAAGTTTTTATATATTTTTCGGTGGGGTCCTAGTGACACCGGAGTACGGTGCCACTGCATTTTTAGAGCACCTCCGGTGCTCCATTTGCAAAATTGACCGTTCCTAACCCCCATAACCCACCCCCTAAACCACATATCCTACCCCCGCCCCTGCACCCCCACCCCAACCACGCCGTAAGCCCCCCACAAAATGTGGGTTGGGGTGGGGGTGCAGGTGCGGGGTAGGGGGTTTAGGAGGTGGATTAGGGGGGTAGAACCGTCAATTTTGCAAACTGAGCACCGGAGGTGCCCCAAAATGCTAGTGGCACCGTACTTCGGTGTCACTAGAACCTCACCGTATATTTTTTAAAAATGCTCTTCAGGTACTAAAATTGTTTTAAGTGTTTGGCAAGTCTCTATACTTTCAAACTGGTGCAGAGATCATAGTACCTCCGGTCACTTTTCCGTCCAAAACTTCTCGCAGACCATTCGCTTTTCTTTATAAATTTTTTATTCCCTTTTTTCACCTAACTTATTTGATACATATACATCTTGAGTCAAACTAAGTATATTTTCCAAATTTTTGAAAAAATGGAAAAAGGATAAAATATTGTTCTTTAAATATATATATTATGCCGGAGACTTGGATAGAAAAATTGCAGCAATGATTCCTTATGCACCGATCAAAATCATAGGGATCTAGGGAACACTTTTGGCCGGATAAGTCACCAGATGGGCTATATGTGTATCAATTGGAAAGTATTGTGACTTCATGAGCACATAAAATAATTTAGGGACTTGAGAAGTACTTTTGAAGAAAATATAGAGACCTATTAAGATTTTTTCCCAAAAAAAAGAATGAACGTCTCCTTTGTCGAGTCATATGTGTTACACCCTCCAGGGATAGGATGTTAGGTTTAGACTCGATCATGGGCCGGGCATACTTGTAACAAATAAAAGCCAGCAAACTTGAGGGTCGGGGGGTTCTATGTTCAAGCCCGTGGCCCACCCTAAACCAATAATAATAATAATAATAATAATAATAATAATAATAATAACAATAATAATCATAATAATAATCATAATCATAATAATAATCATAATAATCATAATAATAATAATAATAATAATAATAATAGTAATAATAATAATAATAGTAATAATAATCATAATAATAATAATAATAATAATAACAAGAATAATAATAATAACAAGAATAATAATAATAATAATAATAATAATAATAATAATAATAATAATAATAATAATAATAATAAAGGCAAGAATAATAATAAAGGCAAGACCCTGGTGAACGTCCGGCCCTACCGCTACCCTCATTTTCAAAAGGATGAGATTGAGCGGTTGGTACACGAGATGTTGTCCCAGGGGCTGATCCGTCCAAGCCGAAGTCCGTTCTCCTCCCCGGTTTTGCTCGTTAAGAAGAAAGATGGCACTTATAGATTTTGCATGGACTATCGGGCCTTGAATGCGGTGACAAGAATTGCGAATATGATTTATTTGGCCCTTGTGAATTCTCCAAAATACCTTTTCCCAAAATTGTCGTCTTTATTTAAATGCTCAGGAGTAAACAGTACAATTTTTGAAGAGTTCAGGAGTATTTTGTGCAACTTTTATTATTCAAGGGTAAACCGTGCAATTTCTGAAGAATTCAGGGGTATTTGGTGCATTTTTTAATGTTCGGGGGTAAACCGTGCAATTTTCAAAAAATTCGTGGATAAACGGTGCACTTTTCTCATTATACATAATATTGTTTTAAAAAAAAATTCAATTGTATATATCTGTTGACACCATCAGACTCCCTGGGTCCGCCAATGTGCTATGTGCGTTACGTTGGAGGATATTTGGGCCTAGAAAATTCCCTTAATGTAACATTTGAGTCAAGTGCAAACTCAATTCCGCCCGTTATATTTGATCCGGTCTAATTAGGTTTAACCAAATGATCATATTAGTTTGCGTTAAAGGTGAACCGGTACAAATTGAAATGATATGAAGGACAATGACAATCATGTGTAAACCTGGAAGGACAAAAGTCACGTGGATTTGGGGTGGCCTGGGGGTACGGTTGACATCAATTGGCCAATGGATAAATCTTGTTTGGACAGCAACCAGAAAAATTATCAGAGTTGAACAAATTAATTAGGCAAAACACCTACGTTCAAGGCATTTGCATCATCATCATCTTCCCAAACACTCATAAATATATTTTCAAGAATTTTTGAAGTTTTGCTTTTTGTTTTTTATCTAAAATTACATAACAGCCTTGGAGTTTTGTTTTTTTTTAAAAATCTAAAATTACAGATTACATAAATCCTACTCTTATTATCGACTGCACTTTGTTTTATTTTTCCTATTTAAGTCAAAAACAAAATATCCCATCAATCTTATACCAAAGACCTTCTATCTCTTTTGTTGTCTTTTATTGGACATGATTTACGAATAAGTAGCATCATATCTTTTTTATTGGAAATTACTAATTGAATAATTTTCAAAGACCAGATTTAGTGGGTCCATTAAAATTAGTACAATTTTCACTTCCTAGGATCGGAAATAAAAATAATTAATGTATACACACTCCCCCCTCCAACTAAGAAATTACATTTTCTTGGTCTTGCAAGCCTTGGTTTTTGACATCCGAGTCTTGGCTTTTGGATTTCTGGCTTATCATTCAGGCATGCATGCCTGGGTTGGTCGCCGTATGGCTTGTGTGCCTGTTCTCGATTGGGTTGATGCTTCAATCTATATGAACATTTTTGTTAACTCGTGTAAACCTATTTTATTCTTGTATTCATTGTAATTGAGTTTTAATAACATTTAAATGTCACCCAAGAGAAAGAAATTCCATTTTCTTAGTTTAAATACCCCACAATAAATTTTAAACCTCGCTTATTATTTCTTACGGAATATAAATGAAAAAATATGTGGCTCACAAAACATACATTTTCTAAACAATATTCAATCATACATGTTTTAAAGGGAGCCCGCCCCCTCATTATCAAACAAAAGTTTGCGCGCACCTATTTAAAAAAAATGAAAATATATGGTGGCACGCAATTTATTTTTGTCATAAGTGAAATGTTGGGACTGCGCGTGCCCTCACCCCAACCCCGCATTAGTATGATATTGTCCGCTTTGGGCCAAGCCCTCACGGATTTGTTTTTGGGCACCTCCCAAAAGGCCTCATACTAATGGGGTTGGATGAACCTATATATTTTGGTCCATTTTTACTTCTCCCTCCAGTGTGGGACTTGGAGGAATCCCAACAAACCTCCCCTCATCCAAGGACCACACAACTTCCGACCTCCCCTCCAGCGGTAATCCCTTTTTTTTTCTTTATCTGCTAACCATCTTGCACCGCCGCACACTCTTTGCGGGACACGCCGCCCGACCTCCTGTCGGGAAGACTTTCGACGCAAGGCTCGAACCGCAGATCTTTCCTTCGCTGGGCTACACCATTTGATCCACCAAATCATCTTGTACCGCCGTGGCTATAACTTCACGGGACGCGCCGCCCGACCTCCTCTCGTCGGGAAGACTTTCGACACAAGGCACCACCTGCAGATCCTCTTTCTTGGTCTTGGTCCTAGTTACACCGTCACACCGAGATTTTTCCACACTGCACAGTCCGCTACTCCCGCCCGCAAGAACCTGGGCTCTGATACCACATGTTGGGACTGCGCGTGCCCTCACCCTAACCCCGCATTAGTATGATATTGTCCGCTCTGGGCCAAGCCCTCACGGATTTGTTTTTGGGCACCTCCCAAAAGGCCTCATACTAATGGGGTTGGGTGAACCTATATATTTTGGTNAAAAGAGGTTGCAAAATTTGCTACAGCGGAAGGGCGGTCAGTGGTGTTGACATGTGATCACAAACAGGCATGATTGACTCCTACATTAACTTGGTCAGATTTACTCTCTCCTCTCCCCCTCCACAATAATTTGTACACTATTAAAATATACTCCCTCTCCCAAATTATTTGCCACATTTGTATTCTCGAAGCAAAATATCAAGTTTTTTCAATTCATTTTATTTACATATTGGTAAAGAAATAAAAAATAAAATTTACATATAAAAAAACTACATGAAAAGTTCTTCGAAATAAGAGGTGTCAAGAATATTTTATTTTATCAAATAATCAATGAAAACGTTGAAATAAACAAAAGTTCCCGACACTGCTGAAAAAGCAAATGTTGTGAATATTTAGGGACGGAGGGAGTAAAAACATTATGATTAAAATTTACTTAAATAAAAGGTTAAATCTTGTATTTTCTCCGTTTCAAATTTACCCCGGAGTATGTTTTTATTCCGAACAATGTTCAAAATTGTATCTATTTTTTACATCTTTTTTACAACTATTTATTTGTCTGTTTTTATGGATTATTTGATAAAATAACATAGTCTAATCATATTTTTTTGAACAACTTTTGACGCATTTTTTAAATATATGATTTTTTTAATCAATCTTTAAATAAAATGAGTTGAAAAAAGCTAAAATTACACTTTGTTTTAATGTGGTAAACATTTTGGGATAGATGAACTATTTAAAAACTATGTAAAAAACAAGAGGGGATAAGAATATTTTAATTAATCATATAAAATAATATTTTATTTCATCATTGAAAACATGTAAGCAAACAAAAGTTATCTAGATGACAAAATAGTAACTATGAATAACAAAATACAGCTATTGCACTACAAGAATATGCCAAATCTGCCACGGACAAATTTCATCACAGATTTGAGAAAACCGTAGTAGATCCAATATTTTGCGACGGAACTGCAACAGAAACAAGTCGCCACAAATTAATCGTCGCACTGAAATCTGCGACGGGAACACCTGTCCGTCGCAGATCTGCGATGGACCTGCAATAGATTTGGACTTACCGCAACCGGGCTTCTCTAGACGGATCTAGCATTTTCCGTCGTAGATCTGTGACAAGTTCTTCAAAAAATGATATTTTAAATCTCCGTCGCAAGACTGTTGTAGAGAGGGAAATGTAGAACCAGCACCAGGCTATATATTCTGCAGATCTGGAGAATTTAAAAAACAACGTAACAGAATACAATGCAGCTTAACAAAACACAAAATACCATTCACATGGGGTTCACGGGGGGTGGAATAACGGAAAACACATCCTCAATAAAACCACAATTTTTTTAAATATAAGCGTCAAACGAATTCCACTTTGTAAAGTAGAACAAGTACAACTATTTAAGCTCATTTAATGTATGCATAAAGACCATTAAAGTCAAAGATTCTAATTCAAAGTGTTTAACAAATAGCCTTTGGTTGCCTTGATCCCCTCGCTCCATCATCGTCTCGAGGAGGGTTGTTATTACTATACAAGCTTTTTAGATCTTCTTGGATTGTTGTGAATTTAGAGGCTAGGGCTTCAACATGTTTTTGGAGGCGTTTGTTTTGTTCTTTGAGGATCACCATTTCACTTTTCTTAAGGGCAGAAGAGCTAGAGCGACGATGGGTGGATGACGGATTCAACTTTCTCATCTTACGTTCGTAGTCACCGACTCGTGGCACGTGATTCTTCATATTGCGGTCCTGGACTAGTGAGTACCAGATTTCATCATCAGTAACATCAAGCCCATTCTTTATAGCCTCATTGCGAAGAGCAATAAATTGAGCCTACTGTAACACGACAAGGTCACCCAACTAGTTATATATTAACACCACAAACAACAACAATATGAACAAAAAAAATAACTACACTACAACACAAACACCAAGAATAATAAGAACAATAACGGCTTCAACAACTCTACCCGAGAGCTACATACTACCAACATCAAGAACAATAACAAGAACAAGAATAAGAACAACAAGAACGATAATAACAAGAAGATTGTAGATTAATGAGTTTAAAATCACGAGTAATAACAAAATCTCCAACAAGCTACTAACCACATCACGAACAATAAGAACATCAATGAGACAAATCATCAGTAGTAACAACATCTCCAACAAGCTACTAAGAACATCACGAATAATAAGCTACTAAACCATCAATAACAACATCTCCATCTCCAACAAGCTACTAAATCATCATCAATAACAACACTAATTAAAAATTTCAATAACTTTGATAATTCCGTCACCAAAAATAACATGAAGCATTAAAATGACACTTACCCAGAGATCAGCATCACTCAGATCAACCCAGGTCTGTCTGTCATGTTTTTTTGTCTTCGTATAGACGATGACTTCTTCCACCAAGATAGGTGCTCCTTTCTTTGCAGCCTATAGTATTAAAATCATATATACATTAAAGATTACATTCAATGTATACAAATAGGTGTCTCTTTATTTTATGCCAAATATTTTACCAATCGATTATAATTCTCAGGAAACAGGATCGTCCCTCTAGTGTACGTCCCAATCGCAGGACCATCCTCTTTACCCCTGCGCCTATTCTTCTTCTTTCTCTTGCTCGTATCCTGAAACTCCAGACCGCCCCAACCCTATTGACATTTACATTAGACAGTTAACCACTTTTTTTTTTTTTAAAAAATAAGGTTTGTATTTTATAAATTAAAAATTTACCTCCTTCAGCCTCTCAGAAGTAGCCACTTCCACCATATTCTTTTTCACCCGACCGTCAGTCCTCTAATTGTACATGTATGCACCGTACAAACATGCATCCTTGGTAAAAATGCATCCTTCATCTATCATCGGACTCCATTTAACCTGGTTCTACATTCAAACCATAAGAAGATAATAAGTTTTTAAATACATTATTTACCTTTAATATAGATCCACGTCTTAAGCATATGTAAAACATAAAAAACTTAAATTCCGAGTAATAAAAATCCCGGTAAGAATTTAAGACGTCTTTCATGTCGGGTCTGTCCTCATGGAGAATGTAGGCGTGATTTTTGCAGCACCAGCGAGTGTGAAAACAATCCTGAACATATAGTTATATTTATACTTCATTAAATTTACAAAATATTAGAAACTAAAGCATTGAATTATATTTAATAATGTTATCACGATCACGTACTCATCATCCGAATTCACATAAACGTATTGATTGCCCTCTAGCTGGTCATCCTCATGCTGGTCGTCCTCATGATGCTCCTCCTCATTATGCTCTTCCTCATGTTGCTCCTCCTCATGATGCTCCTCCTCATGCATCTGATCCCCTACAAAAATGATTTCTCTTTAAGTCAATAACACAAAATAGAAGTATTCATCTTCAAAACCTAAAAAAATAAACAAGCTAGAAGTACCAGTACCTAATGTCTTTGTATGTGGAGTGGCAGGTGACCTCTAGGAACTGTTCAATGGTCCTGATGTTATAAAGGGCAACAAAATAAGAGTCCGAGAGGAACCCGCCTTAGAGGAGTCCCACCTAGAGGAGCCTTCCCTAGAGATCATCGAATCACCAAATAGGTTTCGTCGGACGCGTTCCAATGCAGGAATCCATGAGGGGTGGGAATCATCATTACCATTGCTCATCTACAAAAAAACACACAATAAATCTAAAGTTAGCTCATATAAAACAATCTAAAAGAATAAAGATACATGAATTAGATATAAGAAAAAATTGTATATTCAAAGTGTCTTCAATTTCTTCTTTTGAAGTGTCAGAGCTTAGTATTGGTTCCTCCTCTTCATCATTGTTATGTTCGACTTGTACTATACTAGTTCTCTCGGTCTCATTTGCTTGAAAAGGTTCTTGATGCACATTTTCAGTTAGTTCAATGGAGTTTTCTGTGTCGATCCACCCCCTTTTTTGCACTTTGCACACTGCCTCCCACTTACTCTTACTCTTTTGTGTGCATGGGTATGTTGATTCACGGGCTTGTCATGTTTTCGTACTAAAGCCGTGTTCGTTTTATGACAGGTTTTGATAATGCCAAACCGCCATGAAGAAGTCAAGCATTGAATATACAAGGCGAAGAACGAAGATAAGAACAAGAGCTAAACGAAGACCAAGAACGAAGACCTTAGTCTTAGCATCGTTGAGTCGGTCTTTATTGTGATCAACACCGACCCAATCTTTACACCTTGGCTCTTTAGGCTAAATCCTTTTTCATTGCTTTATCACGTCATAAAAATGTTTTTCAAACGTGTTTAAATCATTAAAAACACTTGGTGTTCGCCGAAACCAAAAACCAAGCCATTCGGCGTTCGGCTTTCAGACCGGCGTTCGGCTTTCGGTTATCGGCATTGGTTTTTGGCGTCCGAACCAACCAAGTGGTTTTCAACATTTTTTGATTGGTTTTCACTCCTTGACATGTTTAAACGTTTCTCCAACAAAAACACTTTGAAAACCACCTTTCGTTTTTGGTCGTTTGGCAAAAACCACGCAAAACGGCGTAAACTTGGCTAGCCGTGGTTTTAACTCAAATGACGTGGTTTTTAAAGTGTCTCACTTGATTTCTTAGCCAAACACATTAAATAAGTGTTTTGAACACTTGGTTTTTAATTTGGAGAACTTTGGATTTTTCGGTCGGCTTTTGCAACGGTTGGCTAGGCCGTGGTTAAGCCAAAAACCATCGGTTTTTGGCTAACCACCCACCCAGCGATGGGAAGAACTTCCCATCGATGGGTAGGCGGTCCTTCAGCCTAACCAAGTTCCAGAACCATGCCAAACAGTGATGAGAAGTTCTACCCATCGCTGTTAAAGCCTTGGTCCAACATCAAGACAAGGCAGAATGACCTTACCCAGCGATGGGGAACTTATCCCATCGATGGGAACCCAGCGATGGTAAGGCTAAACCATCGATGGGAAGGCATGACCGTTGGAAGTCATTTAAGGTTGATTCTTTCCTTGTTTGGAAGTCAACCTCCCACCCAGCGATGGGAAGCTTGTACCCATCGATGGGTAGGTGACCGTTGGCTTCAAAACTGGAAGGAAAATTGGCTTACCAGCGATGGTTGAGTCTAAACATCGATGGGAAGCCAATATCCTGCAGATCCCAAATTTATTCAATCCCATAAATCAAGCCAATCACCCCTTTAATGTATTGGTACGTTGGAGCCTATTTTGGCACTATAAAAAGGGGTGTTTGGGTCTGCTTTTCTCATCAATTCACTTCACAGTTCTCCTACTTTCATTGCATTCAAACAACATCTATTTTCATAGCTTTTTAGAGCCAATTCGTGTGAAGTTTGAGTTATTCTTGAGCGCACTTAGTTTACTCATCATCTATTCTACAAGAGAGTCTCGTTCTTGAGTGTATTTGTGTTTCTAGACACGTTGAGAGAAAGTATTTCTCTTGGTTGATTCAAAGGAAGGGCTGTTTCCTTTAAAGGATTCGTTGTGGTTCGTGTGACTCGAACTCTCAAGTTGTAAGGGTTTGTTAAGCACCGTTAAGCTTAACGAGATAGTAGTGTAGCTGGAGAGAGTCTCTCGGGAGGCTGGATTAGCCACAAGTTGTGGTGAACCAGGGTAAATTCGGTGTGCCTCTTACTCTTCTCTTTACATATCTTTTAATTTTTTAATTCCTGCGATCTCTACAATCAAACGCTATTCACCCCCCCTCTAGCGTTGGTTTATTATTCTAACAATTGGTATCAGAGCCTAACTCGCGTCCAAACTTAACCGTTTGAGAGTAAAGCGATCATGGGTTCTTCTTATAGAAATCTTTATGCAGGAATTGGAGAAGGTCAATCAACCTCTAGGCCACCGCTGTTTGATGGCACCAACTATACATATTGGAAAGAGCGGATGAGAATCTATATCCGCTCAACCAACGTCCAGTTGTGGTTGGTCATCAAAAACAGCGAAGAAACGCCAATGAAGAAGGTCGGTGAAAAACTCATCCCAAAGACCGAGGACGAATTTGATGCTGAGGACATCAAAAAGGTGGAGAACTACGCCAAGGCAATTGACATGCTGTACTGCGCGGTCAACCCAGATGATTATTGCATGATCTCTTGCTGCACCACTGCCAAAGAAATGTGGGACAAGCTGGAGGTCACATATGAAGGTACGGACCAAGTTCGGGAAGCCAAAATTGACTTCCTAACGCAGGAGTACGAAATGTTTAGGATGAAGGAAGGCGAAAAGATCAATGACATGTTCGATCGGTTCTCAAAGATCATCAACTACCTTCACGCTCTCAAGAAGACTTACGCCAACAAGGATCTCGTGAGAAAAATCCTGCGGAGTCTCACACCTGAATGGAGATCAAAGACGGACGCAATCTACGAATCCATCGGAGTCGCAAATGTCACCATCGACGGGCTAAGAGGTAACCTCAAAACTTATGAACCCACTATTCTAACCCTGTCTTTGGATGAACAAAAGAAGAAAGGAATAGCGTTGAAAGCAACCAAGGAGACCGTGGAAGAAGTCTCAAGCGACGACGACAACGAGTTCGGACTCGTCATCAAGAAATTCCACAAATTCATGAAAAAGGAATTTGAGCGCAAAGGAAGAAAGCACGAAGGTCCCCCAAAGTGCTATGGCTGTGGCGAAATAGGCCACATCAAGCCGAGGTGTCCAAAAGGCAAAAGCGGCAAGGACAAACCTGGCTTCAAAAAGCAACGTGCCTATATCTCATGGGGTGGCGACTCCGGCGACGAGTCAACTGACCAACAAGAGGAAGAAGCCGCCAACCTCTGTCTCATGGCACACGAAGACCACGCCGACGAAGAACAAGAGGTATGTATCACTTCCTCCGACTCTTACACTTTTGAAGAGATGCAAGAAGCTCTTCGAGAGCTTTACGATGAATTTGTTAGCGCTTCTAAAACCAACAAATCATTAAAGAAACGTATTTCAACTCTTGAAAATGATTTTGAAAAACTGGAAAAAGATAATGAAAAGTTGAAACAAGAAAATAAATTTTATGGCAAGAGAAGCGCTGACAAACCGGAAAGCTCTTCAAGTGAATGTGAATCTTGCAAAGCTTTAAAAGAAAAGGTTGCAAAACTTGAGAGTGCGATTAAGAAGTTTAATACACCACACAAAGATCTTAATTTACTCCTAGATACTATGCATTTTTTTAAGGAAGGATTAGGTTTTGATAAAAATGAATCTAAGGATAAAAACGTTGAGCAAACACCTAGACAACCTCTTAAGGCTTAACGTAAGAAAGTTAAAAATCAGGATAATAGAAAATCTAGTCAACCTAAGGACACTAGACAACCTAGACAAAAACCTAGGAATGAAAATGTGCATATTAGACAATCTAGGAAAAACTATCAAAATGAATTTGTGCATAAAAATAATTTCTCAAATAGACAAAATAATGCTAGGACACCTAGAAGAGAGAATTCTCAAAAACCAATATTTTCTCAAAATAGGATGAATATGGTTAGGCCCCCTAGCAACTATTATCAACCTAGGAGGATGCATAACCCAAACGTAGTTTGCCACTATTGCAATAGGGTAGGACATATATCTCACATTTGCTTTACTAGGCATATGCACTGAGCACAAAATGAATCACACTACCACTTTGCACCTAACACTCAAGGACCCAAAAAGACTTGGGTACCTAAATTTTATTAAATCATTTTTGTAGGTGTGCTTGAAGGCGTCGAGTGTACTTTGGTACCTTGATAGCGGATGCTCCAAGAACATGACCGGAGATGCATCCAAGTTCCTACAAATCAAACCCGCTAAAGGAGGAAACGTAGTCTTTGGAGATAATAGCAAGGGAAAAATTATCGGTGTCGGTTCAGTAGGTAAGTCTGAAGACTCCTCTATAGATAATGTCTTGCTAGTTAAAGGTCTTAAACACAATCTCTTGAGCATAAGTCAATTATGTGACAAGGGAAACCGTGTGACCTTCGATTCAAAATCATGCACTGT